CTTTTCCGATTCTGACTTTGACGTCCTCGTCCGTCCCGCCTGTAGTTGAAACAGTGCTTCCTAGATAAGTGAAGGAGGTTACTTCCTTTAAGTTTCTCCCGTTGATGGTGACTGGAGTTTGTTGTTGTTGTTGATGGTGGTGGTGCGGTATCTTCATCACTTCTGTCTTCTCTATATTCACCTGAAGTCCCGTCTTCGCTGCCTCTTCTATCAACTTGTTAGTTTTTGCCTGCAGATCTTCAAGTTTATGTGACATTAGGCACAAGTCATCGGCGAAATCCAAGTCTTCTAGGTTCTTTTCCGTCGTCCAGCGTATCCCCCTCTTCTCGCTGCCTACTGTTTGCTGCATGATCCAGTCCACCACAATAAGGAATATCATGGGGGATAGTAGGCAACCTTGTTTCACTCCTGTCTTCACTTCAAAGGCATCACTGAGCTTCCCATTGTGGATTACTTGGCATGTGGCATCTTCATATAGTTGTTGAATGAGGCGGATAAAGGTTTGCGGTATTCCGTAGTATTGAAGCAGTTTCCAAATCACTTCTTGGTCGACGCTGTCAAAGGCCTTCTCAAAGTCGATGAAGTTGAGGCAGAGAGCTGATTGCCATTCTATGCTCTGTTCTATGATGATGCGAAGTGTAGCGTTGCAGTTTGTTCCGTGCATGATTTGTACTTCCTGAAGTCTGCCTGTTCCGGTCGTAGTTTTGAATCCAGTGCATCTTTAAGCCTCTCCAGGATGATGCGGCTTAATATTTTACTTGCATTGGGTGGACAGGAGAGTGAATCCGTGCCAGTTCTTGCAAACACTGAGGTCTCCCTTCTTCGGCAGTTTGACAAGGTAACCCTTCTTCCAATCACTAGCCAGGTACCTTCTCTTCCTTCCACACCTTCTGCAATAGTGGTGTGAGCATGTCTGCTGTTGTCTCTGCATCTGTTCTCAGTGCTTCTGGCGGTATCCCGTCTGGTCCTGCTGCTTTCCCGCATTTCAGTAGCTTTATGGCGTTCAGGACTTCCATTTTCGTTGGAGGATTTATGTTCACTTGTAGTTCAGCGGCTGCAGGTGGTATTTCTGGACGAAGTGCAGGTGGTGGTCGATTCAAGAGCTTCTTGAAGTGGTCGGCCCATCGTTTCCTCTGTTTCTCTTCTTTTGTAATTAAATTTCCTTCTTCATCTTTTATTGGTTTCATCTGTGTTGGTCTCTTCCCTGATAGCAACCTGGTTATTTGATACAATGTCGTCAGGTCTCTCTTACCTGCAGCCTGTTCTGCTTCACTTGCCAGTGTTTCGTAGAAGTGTCTTTTGTCTTTGCGTGCACTCTTCTTCACTTCTTTGTCCAGTGTTTTATACATTGTGCTCAGTTCCTCTTGTCGTTGAGCATCCTTGCACTGGTTTATCTTCTGCTTCACCATCCTCCTCTCCTCTATCAGCTTCCAGGTATCCGTCGAGATCCATTCCTTGTCTTCTTTCTTCTTCCTTCCTAATACTGTTGTGCAGGTTTCTTTCCACATAGCTTTCAAAGACTTCCAGTGTTCTTCCACACAGGTTTCTTCAGGGATGTCCCTCGATGTCTCCCATTTTGTCTTGATGGCTGCCTTGAAGATCTCCTTTGTAGTTTCATCCTTCAGTTTCCGAGTGTTGTACTTGAATTGAGGTCTATCACCAGCTTCCTTGAAGGCTTTTAACTTGATTTGGAAGGTTCCTTGCACTAGATAGTGGTCTGAACCTACATCTGCTCCTCTTCTTGACCTTGTGTTAAGTAGACTGCGTCTCCATTTTCTTGAGATTGAGATAAAGTCGATTTGATTTTTAGTGTGTCCATCTGGTGAAGTCCATGTCGCTTTGTGGATATCCTTGTGCCTGAACACACTGCCTCCAATCACCAAATCGTTGAATGCGCAGAATTCTGCAAACAATTCTCCATTCTCATTCATTTCACCTAGCGCCTCTCGACCCATGGTTAGTTCTCTTCCAGTGTTGTCCCCTCCCAGTTTGGCATTCATGTCGCCCATTAGAAGTTTGATATCGTCAACTGACGTCTTGTCCAGTGTTGATTGAAGTTGTCTGTAGAAATCCTCCTTTTTCTCTTGCTCTGCATTATTTGTAGGTGCATAACATTGTATGATTGTGACCTTCCTTCCTTTTGAGTTGAATCTTGCTGCCACGATCCTGGAGGAGATTGGTTCCCACTGCATGAGAGCCTTTGATGCTCTTGGGGACATCATGATAGCTACTCCCTCAGTGTGCTCGTGGTTGGCGTCTGGGTGACAATCGGAGTAGATTATTGATTCTCCAGTTGACAGTTTGGAGAGTCCACTCCCATTCCATCTGCTTTCGCAAATCCCAAGCACTTCGATGTTATACCTTCTCATCTCCTTTGCAATCTGGGCTGCCTTACTGGGTTCAAACATCGTGCGGACATTCCATGTCCCCACGTTTACTTTTGCTTTCATCGAGAGAAGACACATCGGCCAATTGGCTTCCCGAAGGCAGGCTTTCACCAACTGGCGTCATTTCGCCTCTCCGATTCCAGCGGGGAATAAGTTTGTTTTCATTTTTTATATTTTGTTTGTGCTTTGAAGTTTCTTTAGCGGTAAGATTTGTTTTACGGGGTAGGGTTAGGGTTGCTAGCCCTATGCCCAACCTTCCCTCTTTACCCGGGCTTAGGACCGGCTAGTAACTAGTAAACTAGTTAACCAGGCGAGCTCTGAGCTCTCTGAGCTAAGATCATGTGTAGCAAGCACCAAACTACGGAATAATAGGCTTGACTGGTGCCACATGAATAAAAATATAGGTAAACATCTGAGTTCACCTCGAGGGCCCATGCGTTGCGCATAGTGAAGGTCCGTAAGGCAGAGTCCAGGGTCTCCTGCAGTTTCTTCTGTACCTGATAAACTACCGAGCACCTTGAAACCCTTCGTGGTTCCCCCCGTTGACGGTCCGAGACTCTGGCGAGAAATAAGCGATGACAACAATGTGCACACATGCCAGAACTATGTGAATGTTTTCTTCATCCGGTCGGAGAAGTAGCTGGTATCTATCAGTTCAAGATCGAAGACAAGCACGTAAAACACATTTAAAGCAACATCTGTTGTATTGGTGGGGTTTCTTTACTTGCGTTTTTGGTCCGCATTAAACTGGAAGTCATGGTATGTCACGATTTTGAGATCAAAGTGTCTTGTTGATTGGTCAGGGCTCGAAGTTTGGGGACACTGGGGATAAAGCAGAAATTTCCTGGGTGGTGACTTGTTCATCTGCTTATCACATCCTTAGCTAGATCTTACCCAGAAAACTGCACAGAACCAGCTAGTTTTTGTTTGAAAGATGACAAACCTGGAATGAATTCAGATGAAATGCGATGGTTGACAACCGAGATCATTTTCATGAGTTGAACCCCCCCTTTACTAAATTGAAGGTAGGGGAGAGACCGTCCTATCTCAAACAGGATCGTGAGAAATGACGGACAATTTGATCTATTTTCCCCTTTTCCTTCAAATGAGTCGGAATGCCCGGCAAGTGTAGAATGAGAGTATAAAAACAAAAGAATGTTGGGACAAGGAATGAAGACAGGCATTTTGTGTGAGGAATGTTGACATTATTAGTTAAGAGTCGAAATAGAGTACCAAGCTACTGTTGGCCAAATGAGAAGGGTAACGGAGATCAGACTGTACGGTCTTATAGGGTGATTTCGAAGAAAAATAATCTCAAGTAAAGCTGACGGAAGCGGAAAGCAAACCAATTCTACAGGAACCACAGGATCTCAGGATCCTAAATTTCTACACCTCTGTAACTTGAAGATTACGACTACGTAAATCATGATGTTGGAATAGGGAACTAATGACGAGCTGGCATTTAGCCAGGATAAGTGACGGTCCATGTTTTTCCGCTCTCCCGATCCCCAGAAAGTATATGACTCCTCTGTGGTTCACGTCTATCTCATACCACAGCAGAAAAAGACCTGGGTTTAACTGTGACGGAGAAACTGGACACAAGCTCCAATTACGCAAGTGATGCCTAAAAAGCATATTGTGTACTATACTCTGTGCGTAGACAAGTAGGTGCCCTCACGCCAGAGCTCCTTCTGAGGCTCCGCAATACTTACTTACCACCCTACTTAGAGGTCCACAACGTCTTCGCTACACCGCGGCTGAAAATTGGCACGAAACTGCTGGAGAAATTCAAGAGGCTGGTCACAAAAGGGGTTGTTGGGATGCAACGAAAACTATATGAGGATAGGCTGAAAGATCTAGGCCTACACTCTCTTAGCTACCAAAGGTACCCAGGTGACTTGATAATGGCTTACAAAATACTGAATAACCCAAGTCACTCGGACAGAGGAATATTGCCAAGTGACCAGTATGGAGGCCCTCGAGGAAACCCCAAAAGAATAGCCCAGCAAAGGTCAAAAACTCATGTACGTTCACACTTCTTCTCTCTCCGAGTCTGTGGGTACTGGTAGGCACTAATAGCAGAGATGGTCCCCGCCTCAACTGTTGAAAGCTTCAAGAAGAAGCTAGACAGTCACGCAGAGACCCACGGTCTACCCACATGTAGCTGGAACACGAACTAAACAGAGGAAGTCAACTAATGTCAAGCCACCCCAACTATTTTAACCCTACAACCAGCTTTCTTTTTATTGTAGCCATTTAGGCCCTTTCCATCCCTTCCACTCGTCATGAGTTAGCCTCACTTATCTAAGCTCTTCATTTCTTTGCACACCTCGCCTTACTTGGATGTAAGTAGACCACTCCATTAGTTCACTTTTCTTTCCCCACTTTACTCTCATAAATTCGACTTTCTAGGTTTTCTTTTCACTATCCCTAACCTTCTCTAGCGACCAGTCTGAACAACTGTCTGGCAACTCGATATCTGAGGAAGCCAACTGCACCACAGTCCAAGGCAAACGAACTAACACTTAACTTCCTGTTCTGTAAATTGGAGCTATATCAGAGTAGTGGCTGTATCTACTGCATCGAAATCCACCAAAGACCTGGAACCGTTCCGCAAAACCAAGAAGCGGGCAAGAAGAAATCAACTGGTTTACACAAGCTCGTTAAAAAGATATTGGATATTAGAATAACCTTTCAGGCGCTATCCTCAAAAAGCCAACACTGAGTGATGGGTTTATGTGTGAGCTATGGAAGACTTTAGAAATTTAAAAATAAGATGGATCAGGACCTATCATATTCAACCACTGTCGAACTTTCAATAGCCTGCAGGTAAGTGTGAGATATATATCGCATTTCAACTTCAGGAATTTATGTGACACTGATGTCCTATCAAAATCTGATCCACGTATGTTTTTTGAAGTACTCTATAACATGTTACCCAGTTGTCGTTGTATTTGAAAAGTCATTCCCGGATGATCAATGGGTTGAGTTGGACAGGACAGAAATTATCCAGAATAACTTAAATCCTGACTTCGCAAAGAAAATCGTCATGGAATATCACTTTGAGGAACAACAGAGGTTAAATTTCGCTGTGTCAGTATTCTTTTCCCTTTTTATGAGCTTTTACAGATATGACGTGGACTGCAAGTCTGACAAACTGGATAAACACGTAGTCCTTATTTTTTAATTGTATATCAATACAGGATTTTTTGGGGAATTGTGAGACCACTCTGGGTGAAATTGCGTCTTCTGGAAAAATCACCAAACCGTTAAAGTAGGTGTTTGCTTATTGCCCATCATTTTTAAAGGAATGGCCCGTCAACCGATTGTGGATCAATCATAAGTAAGTGTTCCTACATTAAACAAGAGCTTATTTTGCAGTTTCTGCTGAGGAGGTTTCCTCTTGTAAAGTAAGCCTTTATTTTAGTGTATTGGCCTCTTTCTGAAGGATGAGCTTACACTTGATATCTCTGGGAGAATGCTGGATAAGAAGGATATATTTGGGTCTTCGGATCCTTTCCTGGCATTTTATCGCGTAAATGAAGACAAGAGGTGAGGAATAAGTAGGAAATTATTGTAAAATTTGATGTAAATCCACTACATATCTGTTGGTTGTCTGCAGTTTTCTCAGAATATTTCGTTTGTTAGAAAATGGTTTTGCTAAAATTGTTGCAGCTCTTAGTGAGTTCAAATTTTTTGTTTGAGGCTGATATTACTTTCAGCTCCGTAACCAGTAGTTTCTCAACCTAGGTTTGTTTATCTCTCTCACCCACGGCACTATTTTGTTTCTGAGATCAACTCACCTGAACCCATTTTTATCGTGCTATACATCATGTCAGCTGGAGTTACGAAAAAGTCAAGGTTACCAAGATCAAGAAGTAATATTAATCCATAGAGTCTTTGGCTATTGACTGTAACATTATGCTGAAATGTGACTCTACTTTTTTTCCACCTTGTTCAGTTGAGGTATGTGGTTGAAGATTCTGAGTGATGTGGTTGAAATTTCATTCCAGCGACTAAGATATCTTCATCGTATTTTCATCTAAGTTATAGAAACATTTTAACATACTTTTACTCCCCCTATCTCCTATCTGGCTGAGAGACGTTTTACTACTTCTTCTGCTATCATTCATCTATCTAATCTGTTGCTAACCATCACTTTATGCTGTTCATATGGTGTAGATTTGAACCAGCATTCAGTTTTTCCAGGTCCTACGTTGTCTGTATCTTTCTACCACAGTATGCTTTCAAAACAGCTTTTCATTAGCCAGCGGCGCCTGAAAAAAATACACTTCCTGCAATCAGACGAATAAATGGAATGAAATATTGATAGAGTAGAGATATGAGGTAAGGAATACCAGACATAATATTCTTGGCAGTAACAGGAATAAGAAAGCAAAACAATATTAGTGGTAGTTCAGCCAAAAACAGAATCAGGTTACAGTTCATATGCATTTGTTCGGTATGTTGAAGTTCTGTATGCCGTCACTGTAGAAGAAGAGTCAATTGGGATGGAGTCTCCGTTTCTTTTGATTTTATCCGTCTGATAATATCTGTGGTTATCGAGTTGCAGTATCTGTAGAAAAGTTCACATTTTCACTACATCCCAAATACTCGTCATTTCATGATGTAGTGTTTCGAAATGACAGTTTCTTCACTTCTATTTAGTTCCAACGTCATTGGATGTTTTTACGCGTAGATTTCACTTAAGTAGTTTGCGCAAAACGTATTTGAGCAACCGGTTATGATAACTTGGTGACATTCGCTTTTCTGTATGCACAAGCGTTTTCCAAGTAGTATCATTATTATCCATGCTTTTCTGTTAGGGGTGAGGACCTTTTTCGATATTTACTTTTTTGGTACTTGTTGAAGCGTTATCTTGACTGATGGTTAAACAGACTGACGAAGTTTCATGAGTTTAGAGTAGAGATGCTTCTCACAGGATATGTACATTTTTTAACAACTAGACGGTTGTCGTGATGACACCAAAGAAATAATTATGTATGAATATATATTTGATATTTGGTTAATTTCGTTTCGTAGCTCATTGCTTTATGCAGTTAACCTTCAACGAGTGAGTCACAGGTCTGGTGCATACCCTTCTGACGAACTGATGTTTGTTCATGATACTAAACACACTGGCTAATATTTTCACTGTTTGCGAGTAAACGATGAGTTGCTGGCTGAAATGTGTATACTCCTATGAAACTGTCATTCAACAACCAATGCAACTAAGGCAATATAAATGTGCATTTCTACGATCCTTTATGGATGAGAATTTTGTTAATTAACAGCTAGTGCGATTTTACTAATGAATGTGAAAGTATCTTCCTGCTACGATGGTTTTTTCCTCGAGTGATTTCCTACTATGCATATTATATGCAACTCACACCATTAAGCATTTATATAATCTGTTGGTCTGAGCCGTGTGGGGTGCCTCGTTGCGATCCTCAAAACAGTAGGAATCAGTAGTTGCAGAACCTTAGTGAAATGGCTGAAAATTGACTGATGTGGCGCAAATGCATCAACTTTTTGACGTCTTCTTAAGTTTGAACGTTTTAACTAACCATTGTCTCTGAAATTCTTCTGTCAACTTCGATATCACTTCTACCTACTAGTTCTTTGCATGCTGCAGTAAAATGTGGCAGCTTGTACCAGTACACTTCTGTGTGGTTTTTTACGTGGATTTTATCCATGTTTGTTCGTCCTTTGAATAATTGTCTCAGGTTTTACCCTTACTTTTACTTATTTGTCCCCTCAAACCATCCGACTGACTTTATATGACAGTAGTCATTTAACAGTGCATGTAGAGGTTTTAATTACTTATGTTAGTCATTTTATGTACTTAATAATGATTTTTTGCTTCTTAAATACTTTTGGCTATGTGAAACTTATTTCCCTACCGTTGATGTGAACAGTCGCACCGTGGTTTATCGAACCAAAGAGATAAGAAATACTTTGAATCCCAACTGGAAACAAATGGTTATACCGTTGAGGCTTTTATGCAATGGAGATCACGACAGGTCAGTGATATATTTACATTACAGACCGGCTGTTCATAACTTTGTCAGTTTATTTTATAAACTTATAGGGCTTTATAAACTGATTTAAGGTAGTCAGTAGAATTAATTTCTACGCGTTTTTCATCTTTTTAAAAAATACGGTTACTGTTAGTGTTTTTGTTTGTCAGATAGAATAATGACATCCTGAAATGGTGCATGATCTAGTGCTTAAAAATCATCTCGGCTTTATGTATATAAATATATTGGCAGGATAATATTCAGCTGTTACCCTTTATTTCTATTAATGGGCACCGAGAAATCATCGAATCTAAAACGTATTCTCACTGGAAACATAAGCTTTCGCAAATATTCTAAAAATCACTCAGTAGATACACTTCGAACTCTATGACTGAGACTAAACTTTCTCAAGGAGATATTACGTTAAACAAATAGAAGCAACACATACTCAAGTATTATTGGGAAATATTCAACCATGTCGATTCTCGTGTGATTCTTCAGCATATTTTCACCAACCGACTTAGTGACTAGAAAGATTGAGGAGGGAGAAACCTCTTTTGAAACTTCAGACTGTTCTTCAATTTTACGAATTTGAATAAAGCAAGTGAAAATATAGTAGTAGAAGTACCGCGCATGTATTTCGCACATTTTTCTCAGCTACTTTTCAACCTATACAACACAATGCTTGTTGTGACAGACAACGTACAAGGCACTTCGATAAGTCAGCAAGAAAATTTTGATTGAAATAGGTGATAACATAGATCTAGATTGAAAGAAATTGATAAGTTTGGTAAGACTACTCAAAGATTAACTATTTACACAGTGATATAATAAACATTCTATGTAACCTGTGCAAATCAAGCCCAATTCTCTTGGAAAGAATCGACAGTGGAAGAGTTCTCAATTCCTGTTACCTAAAGCTGTAGCTACTAATTCACATGTACGTGCCGAAGTACATATACTGGAAGAACACACAAAATGGTTCTTGCTGGTATCCCCAAACTTATTCTGAGTCTATAGGGTTCATAGGGTTTAAGTGACGCAATCACTCGATATTTACTTGATACGAGGTATAAAGTTGGTGTATTAGAGTTGTTCGAAGTGATGAGTAAAACCTGAAACCCAACCTTTTATGGTTTGTTGAAGCAGTTCCAATTATTTCCTGATCCGTGTGCTCGTAAAGGCATTGTTATCAATCTTGCTTTACCGTGATAGTTTTAATCTCCTAAATTTGTAGCCACAAAATTTCATGACCTCATGACCCTCTACTTCTTTCATTTTTGTACTCTGATTTATTTCAAAACCTACTCTCACTTTCTGAGTTGTACTAATCTTAATACTTTATATAATGAAAATCTGTTGGCCTTGTAACGATCAGCTGTTGATAGATTTTCGTCTAGCCTGTCGGTAGGCACGTTGTTGCTGGGGGCTTGTAGAGCAGTGTCAGCTTACTGTTGACCACGAGAATCTGGAAGGGGAAAGAAGAAGCGAAAAAGGTGAGCCAGAGACTCACGAAGTACACAGAATATATTCATACTTGGTAAAAGATAACTGAAAAATGGTAGAACTTGACAACGAAGAGATGAGGTAGTTGAGAAATCGAAACTGGAAGGTGAGTGGGTAAGATTTGGAACGCGTAAAAACTTCTTATTACGTTTACTCAGCCATTGTTTTTTTTACCAATTCAAGAAGGACATTGTGTACTACCCTCTCCAATATTTTTGGCCATCTTCTTTAGAATGTTCAGTCTATCACTGTATAAATAGTTAATCTTTGAGTAGTCTTAAGGAATTCATCAATTTCTTTTAACCTAAATCTTTGTTACCTTCTGTCTCAACCGAAATTTTCTTGCCGATTTATTAAAGTACGTTGTATAACATGCTTTTCATCACGAGCATTGTGTTCTGTAGGTCTGAAAGCAGCTGAGGAGAGTGCGCGAAACACGCATGGTAATTCTGCTACTATTCTTCTAGCTTTATTCAAATGGAAAAACTTTTTTGTTGGATGAATAATGATTACATGGAATAAAGTTTCTGTTTGCAGCCACCAATTTTACATTTCATTATTGTTGTTTTAGATTATTACTGGCTTCTAGTTTGCTGCGAGTAAAACCACCAGCCTCGAATATCTGACTACCAAAATTACTTTTCTGTGGAAAAACTAGTGATCAGTCTTGATACATGATCATTTTTCCCCACCTTATATACTTGAGTTATGGAGTTTATATTTCAGTCATTTCTAACCATTTGTAGCATGATTGGATTGTTGTCTTTGAACATCTTAATTCATTTTCTATATTTATTAGTTTAAAGTACAAGTTTGGCTCATCATTAGCACCAACAGTGTACCAGTTGGTTTCTTACCACCTATCTCTTTTTCCTCTAACTTGTAGACGTTGTATCTAAACTGTTTTTTGAAACTGTTTTTGAAATCTACTATATCTTTTGAAGGATTTTGACCTAAAGGAAATAAAAAGAAAATATAGCAATGTGCTACTCCTTTATAGCGTAATAGATTGAAAAACTGTAATTTCGAAATTTGTTCATCCTTAAATAAATCTGCAATTCTACGAATTTTGAAGTATAACTGTTACGTTAACTCTGTTCAAAAGATTTAAGCGATCTCTCGTATGACTGTTTTCTGCCTGTATACAATTGCTTAGTTTTGATGGAACCAAGGCTGTTTAATGACAGGTTGGAGTTCATGATTGGCTGACATCAGTTGGATGACTATTGGAAACCTAGGAGCCCTGAACAGCCGTCTCGTCCTAGTATGGGACTCCTCAGCACTGCTCACCCGTAACCCCACCAGGGACCCAACCCAGGACCTTGAGGTCCCATGGTCGGCAAGTTACCATTAAGCCGCTGGGTTGGAACCGAATGGCCCATATTTCCCACTGCTGCCAGTTCACGACATAGCATGACCTCTATCCAATGTCATCGTTGAGTAAATGTCCTAATGTTCGACTTAGTTGACTCCACTGGTTATAAATTCTCATTGGAACCCAGGAATCACCTCTCGAAGCTAGTCACCAATGAGCGCTAGACTTATCCAGTCTGCAGGTTTGTGTAAACCAGTTAATAAATCTCCACGAACCTCCAGATTGAACAGCCTAAGTTATCATCCATGTAAAAATTCGTTAATTAGGCAATAAACTCCACATGTTGTACGCAAGATGTTACTACGTGGTTGTCTAAACCTCGGTGTATGGAACAGGATTCAGAGCTATGAACTGTTGGTTGAAAGTTTAATGCCTAGACCAACTAATCACATCTCCATGACTGTGGATAAGGTAGGGAACACGTGCACTAGTTATCTCTTTTACTTTCGATATAATAATTACGCTATGAAAGCGAATAATGAACGATATCGCATGATAATCTTCAAATTTCGACAGAATAACACTTCTAAGTTATTGTAATTTATAGATGTAAGTAGAAATATTTCACTAATCTCATAGATGTAGCTGGTTGCATATCCAGTGTATATAGCTGCACACTTAATTGCATTAGGAGATATCAGTCACTTCTCTAAACTATTTCTTGCCATTGAAGTATGTTTAAAGGATACGTTCATAATTATATTTCTTTGATTCTCATCGAATTTCTACACCGCCAACGTAGGAAGTCATGAGAGATTTCATGACCCTCTGTGATTTATTTGCATGCGAAAAAAAACTAACAGTGAAATCAGGACTGCATCTTGTGGCACTGTGTTGTGTCAGTCTTCAAGAAGAGAATTTATTGCTAATCCTTATTCTTTGTCTTTTACCAATGTGGAACCCAGTAATCGTAAACACAACGGATTGCCAGTAATTTTGAAACTGTCTTGAATTATTAGTAACCTTGGATAGGCTGTGTTGTCTAAGGTTTTATTTAAGTCTTTACAGCCAACGTTTACGGGATTACTGTTATCCCTTAATCTTTCTTAAGTGTTCTCGACTCAAAGATTATAATGCATAGATAGCTTGTACAAAAACAATGCTGTACATAAGATAGTAAAAACTTGCTTATGTAATACTTATTATACTGCTGTTAAGGTTCACACCCTATAGATAAGAGTAAGCAGGGTTGTTTTGGGTCACAGAATCGACTTTATTAGTTAAAAAGCAGTCTAAATATATTTGTTTGAGGTGTGGCTACACATTTTCTTTTAATTTACTACTAGTCTGAGGTGTAGTCCATGTGGTCATTTCGATACTCTTCATCCAGACTACGAACTACACCCAACACTGAACTGTAGTCGGTGTCTACAGAAAAATGCGTTTTTCCCATCAGTGCTTCTTATACTACGATTTATAACTACTGCAGGAAGACCTCAGCAAATTAGCTTGTCGTAACTTTTTTTAAACTGAGATCTTCAGCTAGTGTATATGCCTCAGTTTTAAATAGCTTATATGAGAAGAAATCTTATAGTCTTGTATAATAGAGGTTCTTAAAACAATCGATATCTGATTTATTGCTAAGCTGTATTTCTTTCTGATTAAGCGATGTCAAGGACAATGTCGAGTATCTCCGATGTTTTTTTTCACCATAGTAAGCTGCTTATTTTTAAATTCTACCTTGGAAAGTGAAGTTTATCAACGTTTCAAAGTATAAAATACCCATTCTCCATAAACTTAAGCATAACATTAAAGCGATGTTCCCCATTTATAACGTATGTGTCTTATGGTGATGTTAATTGTTTACTTAGACAGAACGACAGTGGAATCAAGGTGGAACCGTTCACCATACGGTATTTGTTCAATTCGCAACACTTCATGACAGCATACAAAGAAAGAATAGATAGGAAAAAATGATGTAATACCAAAAGAAACTTTATTGAAGGAGAGGGAATAATAAACCACAGGTTATTAAAATTTTCGAACTCTTCCAGATGTACATCTTCGTAATTGTGGTTGGTTTTCATCTGTCTTTAAAAGTCTCCATTCATTCAGTTTTATGATCTCAAGGATCCTAGACCATGAACTGTTTTTCGTGTTGTTCAAAATAGGCTTTGGTGCTATAAAAAGTGAAGGATTCATTACAAAAGTTTACTGTTTTTTATCTGCTAAAAATTAATTTTTATTTTTCAGAGTTTTACCAGTTGCTTATCATCGAATAGAATAGAATTAGCATCTTATCCCCCTTAAGTTGTAACGCTTTCTTCCATCAAACTGTTTGACTTATCGTTGTTTAAGATTCATTTCTTTTCTTATATGACACTGTATTTCCATTCCGTCTGCCAAAAACTGATCTAGTTTTAAAGCAGACAAAGTATACTTTGACTCACTGTTGTTTTGAATACGGGAGTTTATGGCTACTCCTTTCCTGGTTCATCATCTTACCTTCCCAGTTTCAGTTGTCATTATATCATGTAGGGTTTCTGAATCTCTACTATTTAATATCATCTTTAAGCTACATTTGAGTTATACTATTTCATTTCGGGGAATAGTTAGTTTTATGATAATCCTGTGCAGTTCTTCTCTTAGACAGTCTGTTGACGTATTCTACCCCTGTTCTAACGTTATCTGTTGGTATTGACATAATAAATTTCTTCATGAAGTTGCCTTATGCACTGTGAGTCAGTCTGCTTCTGACTTTACGAGTCAACTTCATGATGATCTATGTTTTCTCAGATACCATTTCATCACCATTGTCTCAGTTAACAGCGTTGCATTTCGTGAGCTTCCTTACAACATTCACAGTTGTCATTGCATCATCCGGTAAGGCATGATTGAGCTAGATAAATCCTGCTATACTTTTATAAGATGCTGACATAGGTGTTATGCATAGGTTTTATGTTATCATCTTTTGCATTCAAGTGTGCTGAAGAAGAACAATCCGGTCTACCGTATATCTACAGTCACTTCAAACTGCCAGATTTTCGTGGGATTCCGATTAGTAGCACTTAAAATACTTCGAAAAATACAGTGGATAACGCCTTGGCGTTAGAGGCGATGGGTACTAGGCTCTAGTCTCATTGGGAACAATATCACTCACTGGGGTGCAGGTACATCCAGCCAACGAGTCTTAAATAGAAAGAAACATGCGTCCTAGATTCTTCTGCTAGCCACAATCAAGTAAGTTAAGGGAAATATTTGAAATTTGGATGCAAAAACTTGATGCCTCACAAAGGAATTTCTGTAAAATATTACTCAGGAAAGGTTTTTTAGCATTCAAAGCAAAGTGGGCTTTAATAAGTTGGGAGAAAAGTGAGCGAGGATGAAATTACATTTCTTCCTTTCTTTCCTTTTTTTCGGGGGATGGGGTGGATATTATTTCGACATTTTGTATGTAAGTTGAATCGTAGTCTTCATAGTTTAGTATTTATAAAAGTCACTATTTCAGTGTTTAACTGTTTCAGAAATATTCATGTATGATGTCTTTATATGCTGCATAAATAGGATAAAAATGCGATCACTAGTACTGTATTTTTACCCTAGAACAAAATTCTTTTATTTTACGTCTGTCATACATTTCATCTTGTTATAATAATTCATTTTTTTTAAACCTCCTAAACTTTGTTTGGAATTGTTATTTTATAGACCATTAGTTATTGCCTGCATTGACTGGAACAGAAGTGGAAGGTAAGCAAACCTATTTATTGTGTTGAAATCACTTATCTCTCCTAAGAGACATCATCTTATTTCAGAGAGGTTAAATGTGATTAATGTTGTCTAACGAGAGAGCTTATGTAATATATTTATACTATACACGTGAAGATATTACATTAACACTGTACTTGCATGCAGTTTGTGACTACTTAGGGCAATGATGAACTATTTATGATGCTTTTCGATCATTATGAGCTTTGATTAGTGTATTGAGGAAAATACTGGGTAGTAAAGGAAGCTGTAATGTGTCAGACTCCTTATCGTCCTTCTTATACCTCTACAAACCAACTGGATATCTTCGTTATTCAAACAGGATAATAATTCTTATGTTATGACTTGTATTATCCCGTCGTTGACTGGATCGAATTAATCGGTCTCCATAGGTATACGGGCTTCTGCATGGATGCCTGGAAATTGGCTAACGTTTCAATTTTATATTATTTATAGATAGTATAAAATTGAAACACAGCCAATATCGGGGCATCGACGCAGGAACCTAGATATCAGTCTGTCTCAGGTTCAAGTTTTATTTAGAACAACATCGCTCGCTGGTGCGCAGGTGCATCCAACTGACAAGTCCCGAATAAAACGAAACGGTACGTCTTACATTCCGCTGCTAGCCACTATCTATCATTAATATAAGATAATAATTCACGTGGATACTTCTAAAGCAAGCAATTCTAAATGTACGTAAGTGGTATTATACATTTTTATGCATCTACTGACTTGGTTATTGATATTTTTGGATTATACAGTTTAGCCTTTTACCTCTATATACTACAATAGGACGGTATCATTTATCGTTTTCCAAAATAATCATCTTTACTCCTACACCTTTCCTCTGGTAGTGATATTATCATTTGGATTGTTTCGTGATGTGATTTATTATTGTAAATTATTTGCTGTTCTGATTTGTAATACTTATAAAGTGTTCATGGAAGGGGGGGGGGGTAGTATTTGGCATGTTTTTTATAATCAGTGCCAATTCTTGTGGCAATATAATTAGACAGCATTGCTAGATTTATCATTTTGGAGGTCTAGATGTTAATGTGACCTAGTTTTGTTCGATCTAGATTTACTAATGGTCATGGTTGTCCATTATTTTGCTGGGGAAAAAGCGTGATAGATTGTAGTTTAGCGATTATGAAACTAAACGAGGAGAATTTCATCTACCACTACTACTGATAATAATAATAATTATAATAATCGCTTTATTCCAAACAACATGTATGATACAGTATGGAATTTTCAGCATGGAATATTTCAACAAATTCGCTTGCCGTACAATATTCTTAAAAGTAATAATTATTATGTCCGCATGGTGTTAATAACAACAGTTTTGAAAGGATAAGTGTGAAACGGACAGCTAGTGTTACATTATCATCTGTTCTGGACTCGGAAAGTGACACAGAATCGGGTGTAATTTTGATGGTGGTAGATAAGTCAGCCAGCACATAAATTCACAATCCCATACAGGTATCGTAGGAATAGTAATGTGGTGTATTTTTGAGCACTTACAATTCCCTTTCGAACTGGGGGAAGTTTTTCCTTCGTTTTGCTCTTAGCTTGAGAAACGAAAGTTCGTAAATATTTTGAAAACTTGCGAGAGTACATGGTGCGTTTAGAAGACATTTGAAAGATTCAAACAAAGTATAAGGGAAGAATTTGATGGGATATAAACGGTGGAAGGTTTTCTTGATAGCCCAAGATTCAAGCAGGCCACTTTATCGTACAGTTCTTAATTTTGTCGCTTGACAGATCACAGATACTTATATTACGCATTTTATGAGTAACTTATTAATAATACATGTGTTATTTATATCATTCTCTGCATTTTGTTTTTTCTATATTCTGTAAAAACAATTTCTATTTTTAGAGAGAGTTTGATTGGCGAAATCACCACATCTGTCAATGAATTATTACATATGTACAGTAATGGTGTATATTCATTTGATGTAAGTTCTTATTCATTGAGTGACAGTGTGGAATTGTAAACCTTTAATGACAGGACACGTGTTGAGCATGCCAAGCTACCTCGATGTCTGATGTTAGCTGAAGTAGGATTGAATTGGAAGAAGGCTCAAGGTAGTTGGTTCATTAAGTCCCTGACTGTTGATTTGACCAGTGTAGAGAAGTGTAGACTGCCTGGTTAGAGTCCTCAAGACAATAGGGAATCATTGGTTAGAGACTTGATGATGTGGCTGAAAATCGGTCACAATCATGCAGAGATATCTACAATCTCTTTCATCTTTAAAGTGTTGAATATTTTGTTAAGCTTCAATTTTTCTTCTCTCTCTTCTCATACACACTTGTATACCTTAATGTCACTTTTTCCATCCACTTCATCGTGTACTGTTGTAGGCTGTAGCACCTTGAACCGACACACTTCTGGGCAAGGTTTTGCATTGATTTTTCTGTCCACATGATGTACAAATAAATAAGTATTGTGAAAAACTCCTCTTTCATTGTTCATGTTACACCCAGTGGGGATGGTCTTTCATGCTTCCTTTGCGAAACTTAACTTCATTCTATATATCACAAGATATTATTTTATAGGCGAAGTAAAATAGCAAATATTACAGATATTTTAAAGGTGAGACGTAATTAACTTTGTTTGTCAACAAGGTGATCGTTTTATTCGCTAGGGTATATATCTGCACTCATAGTGTAAGAAGTAGCATTTTGCCATCAAAGTCAAAAAGATTTTTGTAGTTTTACTTATGCGAAAGAATTTTGACTTATCTAAAAAAGAGCACCTCCCATCCTTTGGAACATGAATTATTCACTATCTAACATTTAAACCTATTGGTGGTTGTTCAACGTTACTTTGTTTCATGGCTATCGTATCATAAAAGATTTATATCTGTCAGTATGGATTATTGTTAGGCTAACATTATGCTTGAAATTTGCAGACCCCTATAAAACATTAGCGTTATACTTCTTACTAAGTGACTGACAAAATCAATGTAGATACTCATATAGGGGTACATCGGCTCAAGTTTCCACGTTTCGCACAAGTATACAAACTGTGGGTGGGTAAAAACGGACTAATATCAAAGTAGATAAAGTAGCATGAGAGAATAAAAATTTTGAAGATAAAGATTAGTATGAATCTTCAAGCTTTAGAAGATGTCAGGGAGTGAATACATCTGCGCCATTGTGACTGATTTTCAGTCATGTCACCAAGAGTTCTCAACCACGGATTCTTTTCATGTCGGTGACCCTAAGCAAACACTCTACATCTTCCCACATGGCTCAGGCTAACAGTCAAGGACTTTATGGACTGGTGCTACGTTTTGGCCTGATCACTCTCAACCGTCTTCCAACTTAGTCCAGCTTCCTGTAGTATGGCATATCGAAGTAGGCGTTGGCTCGGTATGCGCAGTACGTGTCCAAGCCATCTCAGTTGACTAAGGTTCAGAACCTCATCAATCGACTTGCCTGTTTTGTCCAGTGCCTTCAGCCTAACCTCAACATTGCTCACACAATACCTCTTACTAGCTTACCGACTAGCTGATTGGTTCGAAAAGACCCCAGCTTCTTAGTTTACCAAAATTTGAGTTGCTTAACTACAAAACGACCCTTTTGTGATAACAGTTAAAAGATATAGAGACAAAGAATAGTAAATTAAATCCGAAAGTAGGAGAGGAGTAATATTACTTGACTAACAAAATCTTCAGGTTTTTAACTAAAGCCATCCAATCAGTTATTTCGGCTTTTTCGTACAGCTCACTTTTACAGCCTACAAACCCTTACATGAATAAAACTCACAGTAAAGTACATCATAACTTTCCCCGTATTATAACATGGTTAGGTAACCCGAAGTTAGTTTCGTTGTTTCTACTTTTGTGATCAACTTGGCACGTCAACATAGCCTTCGTCTGGTAACCACTAAGATCACCTTAATCAATGCACCTGAAGAACCACATTGTGTCTTGTTTATTTTTCAAAAGAAACACATACCTCATGCCTTGGTCATACTCAAAATAACTTGCTAACGCCCAATATTTTGCAATCGTAAGATAAAACAAAAAGTTTTATCGGATTTTATTCTTAGATCTTTATAGGAAGGCAGATATCGACGGTTGAGTTATTGTCAGTTTCTGAACATTAGCTAAACTTTTTGAATTTTATGTCAGTTTTTATTTATTGATCAGTTAATAATATTGTTCGTTTACTGTGAAATACATGCTATGAAAGACCTGTAACGGAATTATATTCTATCACGGTGCCCAAATTCTACTCATATCTTTGCACCAGTTGTTTTTGTCGATATACAGGATTCATGTTACGATTCATAGATTTTGTCTTTTACTACAGTTGGTTATTGTTTGGCATTATAATTTAAGTCATGTATATCTATCCATTTAAAGACTCATCGATGTGACATCCTTAGTTAATGCTTTCACTTTGACTTCAAACCAGCATCTATGTTTTCAGTCAACCAAGCGTAACCCACTAAGCTATGTACTTATAGTAACTTCTTTTAGTGACAGTATTTGTTGGACAAATGGTAGTCGCTGTGATACGAATCCGACTACAGTCCAAATTTTCATTTCACCTTCAATTATCACTCAGTATCAATACTAGTCTGCCAAACCATGGTTATCTCAGATAGTTCTATGTGTGTTAATAACTGGGTGTTTCACGCTAAAGTTGTCGAATTTGATAGTGAGTTAGAACACTTGCACACTAGGTAAGGAGTACATCCAGCTAACAAGTCTCAAGTAAAATGAAACACCTAAGATTTCACTGCTAGTTACCAAAAGCTATTACCTAGAGATTTTTTTCAATAACCACTACTTATACACAATAGATCTCTACCGAACTGCTGACAACTTAGACGTTTATTGATTTATGTGTTTTACTAACATTCAACTTTATTATTGTTTCTTGTCGCACAAAAAGTGGCTATCATGGCTCGGTAATCTAGTGGATAACTCTCTGGCGTTTGAAGCGATCTGTTCTTAGCTCAAGTCCCAGTGGGAACAACATCACCCACTGGTAGGTAGGTGCATTCAGCTAACGAGTCCCACATAAAACGGAACAAGCGTCCTGGATTCCGCTGCTAGCCATTATCCTTCATTAATATCCAACCTTATTTTAATGATTGATAGTGGCTAGCGGTGGAATTCAGGATGCGTATTTTGTCATTTCTGCGACTTGTCAGTTGGATGTACCTACCTTCCAGTGAGTAATGTTGTTCCCACTGGGACCCAAACTCGGAACCAAACGCTTCAAATCCCAGTGCGTTATTCACTACACCACCGAGTCTCGATAACGACTTCTTGTGTGACGGGTATAGTTTTAGTATTATTGTTTGTATTATACCGTCGTTTATTGGACCGAATTGATCGGTCTCTGTTGGCATATGGGCTTCTTTGCGCATGCCTCGATATTGCCTGTGTTTTATTTGTAGTAATGATGGATAGTGGCTAAGTACATCCAGCTGACGAGTCCCAAACCGGACGAAATGTGCATACTGGATTCCACTGCTAGCCACTATCCATCATTACTACAATTAAAAGACAGATGATATCGAGGCATCCACACAAGAAACCATATGCCAATAGGGACCGATAAATTCGGTCCAATCAACGACGGTATAATACAAACAGTAATACTATTTCAACTTTATTGCTATACGTCGTCATTATTCAATGAATTCCTTGCTGTCATGAGTTGCCTTACATTGTCGAAATTGTTTGTTTCTTTTATTTCTATTGAATAACTTTGATTAACTTAGCTCTTTTAGTTTCATTTGAATTAATAATGTATTTTACATCTTGTTCTACAACCTAGCTTATTAATCCTCGTAAGGCTAAGCGGCATAAACATTATCAGAATTCTGGAACTGTAAGTATTGTGTATTATTTGTCAAAGTGATGAGTGTTTTTATATAATCTTTCCTACTATGAATCGTATAAATAGTTAATGAGAAAAATCAGCACTTATTAACAGTCTCCTAATAAACTAATGTAAACAATTTTTCCTAGTCCATCATGGCAATGACTGAGATAACTAATTTAATTTCTCTATTTCAGCTGGGAAGGTAATTTTTTTCATCAAATAATGAAAACTAATTTGGTCATTAATGTACTTGTTAGGCTGGCTTTTACAATCACTGTAAAAATGGTATTTCCAATAGTAAAGCTATCAATAACGTTAAGTACGTATTTCAGTTCACTTAGTTAAACAAGTTCACCATCAACGGGAGAAACTTAAAGGAAGTAGTCTCTTTCACCTACCTAGGCAGCATCGTTTCAACTACAGACGGTATAGATGAGGACGTCAAAGCCAGGGTCGGAGAAGCAAGATAGGCCTTCATCAATCTGAAATCAGTGTGGAGATCTACTGCACTCAGCTTAAAGCATGAACAAGATTCGGATTTTCAACATTAAGTTAGTCAAGTCAGTGGTTCTATGTAATGGTTGAGAGACTTGGCGTGTCACGAAAAGCATTTTCAACAAACTACAGACATTCATCAACAGCTGCCGCCTATGATCACTCTATACTGAAGATCAGATAGGTGACCAGAAAGAATAAGCAACCAGGAATACTGACTTGGTAACGAACCAACCAACAGCCTATCGCTGAACAAATGTGCAGAAGAAAGTGGAGATGGATTGGGCATACACTGAGAAAACCATTCGGAGACGTCACACGCCGAGACCTCAAGTGGAACCCAAAGGTGAAACGAAGAGTTGTGCTCTGATGCGAGGGTGACATGAAGGAGATGGGGTGAGGAAGAAATGAAAGCTTATGGGGAGTGGTGGAGTCAGGTTGAAAAGACTGTAGAGAAGAGAGTGGATGGCGACGTGCTACTGAAGACCTTTGTTCCACTAGGAACCCAAGGGACAAATGATAATAAGTTAAACAAGTTATAACGATTTTAAAGTGTTACAAAAGTCAACTCAAGGTTCAAACTACACTTTCTCAATTAATTCCAAGTATAAAACAAAGCAAAAGTGGACACTAGTTAGTAGGTGTATTTCTTCGAAACTCCAAGCTAGAGGTGATCTCTGAATATCAAAAGGGAATCACTCAAAAGGACAACTCGGTATCAATCGATGATGGTAAAATAACAGTTTTCTATGGAGAATCCATCATTTTTTGTAACTGCATTACTGAGTTGTGATGCATGCATCTGTGTATTCATTTTCGTATTCATTGTGAAAACAAAAGCTTGTTGTTCATAATATCAACCATAGGATCTTGACACTATCCACTTGATGATAATCATCCATTCATTTCACTTTCTCAACCTAGTTATTTATTGAAATAGTGTTATAGAAAGTTAGTGGTGCATTCAACCTCAGGATAATACAAGTAACAACATAAAAACGATATTCGTTGCACAAGAAGTAGCTATCGTGACTCATTAGCCTAGTAGACAACGCCCTTGTGTTAGAGGCGATGGCTTCCACCTTCGAGTTTTAGTGAAAAAAATATCACTCACTGGTAGGCAGATGCATCCAGCTTATGAATCCCGAATAGAATGAAACGCACGTCCTAGATTCAGCTGCCGGGTACTTTCAACCATCAATATCAATATCGAAGCATCCGTACAAAAGCTAATATACCAATAGAGACCGATCAATTCGGTCCACTCAACGACAAGATAATACAAGTAACAACATAACAAACTTTACTTCTTGATGCCAAAAATAGAAAATATGTATGAAACGTAAACATCACTTCCGGTATTTTGTTGATATTTACTGTCGTTATTCACTGTATTGAACAGTATTTTATTTACTTGAAGCTTTTCATTCTACTGATAACCAATAATGTAATTAATTTTCACCTTATTAAACACACTGTTATCAGTTTTCTTAACCAAAACTTAAAATTGTATTCAAAGTATGATATTATCGAATGAAATGTTGTCCATTGCGCTTTATAACATGATAATTACAGCGAAACTGATAACAAAATTTGCTTTCAAAATTTTATTAGTTTGCTATAGGTTTTATGGTTTATCAATCTAAGCACGTGAAGATTAGAAGAGAAGATGAACGATTAGCAGAGAGGTATTACTGTCTCAACAAAGGTCAAAACAATTGAGAGCGATGCTGAATATATACATTCCAAATGACCTTGACAAACACTAAATTTACTGATAAGTTAACAACCAATGAGAGTTCAGCCTTCAGAAACGGTAGGAAAAGCCGAAGCTAACAACGGCGCCAAGAGGACGCCAAATAATAAAGTTATATCAAGGTTATAAGCAAAATTAGGGGTATGTAACAGAAAAAATCGTCAGTTTTTATACAGTATCTGTATTTGTTAAGAATTTTGATTCAATACTCTTCAAGTTGATGAAATTTTAAACCTGTCCAAGGTTTGTAAGTTATAAGAATACTTACATTCACATTTCAAGTGTTTGCATTACTTATTCTATTTCTTTACCCTAATTTTTGTCTATTTTCAAAGCTTCATTTAAATTTAGTGAGAGTTGAGAAAATATACAGCTTTCTGGAATATGTTCAAGGAGGGTATGTTCCATTACTGTCTATTTATTTATTTCAAAACTTATTGTATTTGATTTACATTAATTATTTTTCAATGTGACTTTAGAGTCCATCCTAGCTACCAGTGAAACAACCGATTAAGTTACTCTGTTTCATTTGGACAGGCGGTATTTTCACTAGATAGTAAAAACCTAGTCGGGTTGTTTCAGTATTCGCTAGGTTAATCTTTAGTGTCACCCACTTATTTGTAGCATGATAACTGTTTAACTATGCTTTGATCATACTTTGAAAAAAGTCAGTGCTTACTACTCTGTCTACTTTGGGGAATTTCCTTAAGTCCATCGTGGGTACGACAAAGATAGCCAATCAGATTTCTCTAGTTTAGCTAGAAAGGTAATCTTTTTCACTAAATCGAGAAAACTAATTGGTTATTTCAGGCAACCTGGTGATTTATATTAATCGGTAATTGTTTACCTAGTTTCGACTAGGGCGGGAAAAAGTGGCTAGGCACGTGATACGGTAGAATATCATTAGGTGTATCTCTCATTTAAATAACCGCCGTTTGACCTAATGATTGATAGTAGTTAAACTTTAAAATTTCCAGCGGTTAAGTATCATAGGTAATTTTTTTTAGTTTAAGAATCTAGCAACGCAGTAACGTAGTGTTGACTTTAGCGTGGATTCATTCATAGTCCCCATTAATATCTTTGTATTACAAGGGATTATATTCAGAATGAATAGTTTTAGATACTAAGATCAGCACTCTTGTCGAATAAATGGCATGAAGAGAACAAGGAGGAATGAGATAACCATAGAATTTGATATGACGAATAAAATGAACATAATATGTGTATGCATCTGCACCACGATTCTGAGCCATATCACCGAGATTTTGATTATTGCGCAGACCGTAGCTAGAAAGTCTGTATTCCTTTCCTCACACGAATGAGGCCAACATTCAGCCTAATCCTACTTCTAACAACATTTAGCAAACACACACGGCATTATAAATATTCTTCATATGTTGAATGTTTTTATTTCTTAGCGCGATTTTATAAAATACTATGGTTACAGATTTGAGTAAGATATACATGAATGGGGTGCTTACACCAAACAAGTTCATCATTATAGCATTGATAGTAACTGCTTTTGATTGCAATAGCATTACAATATACTATGTATCAAAAGTATTGGTGTAATTTTCAACAAAAGTTGTTCAAAACTGTTCATCTTGCTTTTTACCCTAAAAGTTCAAGGTATTTCATATTTACGCTAAATGATCATTTAAGTAACAAACGTCATATTTATTTTCCAGTTATCTCCAACCCTTAAATAAGCTTAAAAGTTCAAACTTTCTAAAATTTAAAAAATAAAAATTTTTTTTTGCTTAAAACGTTTTGTAACAGCACTGAACTGAGTTGCTGCATTGCTATCGACTTCACAGCAAGTAATGGCAGTCCACAAGTTCCCGGCACATTACATTACAGTACAATTTCTCAACCATCACAATATGCATTGGCTTTGCAAGCTGTAGGTGAAATAATCAGTGATTATGATAGGTAAGAAAGGATAAAATTGTTGATATGTCAATATCTATGATAAGTATGTGTTTGATCATTCATTTATCGATTTTTTAAAAGAAATATCGAGATTGCTATAGAAGAGATTGTTTTCTTTAGCTGATAAATTATCTACATTATGTGAATGCTTTTAACATTTGATTTTAGCTCCTTATAACTTGTTCCCATGTTCACCTTTATCTTACGTTTAGCCAACAAATTTAATTTGACTTTGGATGATATTAAATAAGGTTATTTATTCTTATACCACAACATTGAGAACGAAACTGGAAGATAATGATGACACAAACACAAATTGTTTACATTTCTATCTGATAAGGTAGAAATATCCACATCTGTTTAACGAAAATGCTTAATTATTATCGTAACCTAGCAACCGTCAATGTTATGCGAAGGGTACTAGGCAAGTTGGTCGATGAGATTGTTAACCTTTAGTGACTGAAATGGCTTAAAGTTATGTTACTCATATCAAGCCACCACTGATCTCAATGTGAAATGTCATCCAAAGTTGGATTAGATCGGAAGAAGGCTTACAGATACGTCATCAGTCTTCAAACTCTCGAAGCTGCATAGAAACATGTAGGCTTCCTGGATAGGATCCTTGGAACGATAAAAACAAATAAATGAAGAATCTTGATGACACGGTGAAAAATCGGTCACAATGGCGCAAATGTATTCACTCTCTGACATCTCCTAGACTCTGAATATTTTTACTAACCTCCAGTTATTTGTTTTCTCCACCCTGATACTCTTTTATCGGTTTTAATACCAATCTTTTTCCATCCACTTGTTTTCTGCACGTTGCAATGATGTATGGTGCTAACTTGAACCAATAATCTTCTTTGTGAGGTTCCTCTTTGATTTATCTATCTGTATGCTACTTTAGCGTATGCATTGATTATGAGCTTTTGTGTTACTGATGTTTAAATTGAATTCTAAAAACCAAAAGTATTTTCCCGTTTATTGTATTCAACAGCGTCTAAACTGATGCCGATTTGAATATGTAGTCATTCTGCTACGTTTGATAGAAATGACATAACTAATTTGGTTCCATTTAATTTGGGGGTTTGTGGGGATTTAGTGATTGATTTCAAGTTGGTATTCATCATGAACTGACACCAGTTGGAGGAACATTGGGAACGTGGGAGTAGGGGATAGTTATTCCGTTCTAGTATGAGACACCTTAGCAGTGCGTACCCTTGACCCCAGGTTTCCAATGTTCCTCAGTCCATGATGAATACCAAATTAAGAAATCACTAAATCACCACAAACCCGCAAATTAAATTGATCTTGTGCTCATTGTTGATTAGCTCCAAGAGGTGATTCCTGAAGTTCCAATGAGAAGCCAGGACCAGTGGGTGGCTGTGAGGACAAATACTTTACGATGACATTGGATGATGATCTTGCTGTATCGTGAACTGACAAAAGTTGGAAATATGGACCATTGGATTCCGATTCAGTCGGTCTATGGCAAAGTGCTGGCCACGGAACTTGAATGTCCTGAGCTCGACCCCTAGCGAGGTCAAGGATGCACAGTGGTGGGGAGTCCCATACTAGGATGAAACATCTGTTCAGTGCTTCCAACCTTCGATATTCTTCCAATTGATGTCAGTCCATGATAAATACGAAACTGATAATTTAGTTCCTCTCACACATTCTATAGGCAGATATAAGCGTCGGTTGTATGGGTAGCTGGATAGTGTTGAGCTCTTGCCAAAAAATTTAATTTACTGCCTGCACCTCTGTTTCTGCTGATATCCTCATAGATCTTCGAATTACCATTTCTGCTCTGTTGAGATGGTACTCCAAAATAAATGCTGACAATTTCAAAAGTAATCACTTTTCTCAAAATTCAATGATAAGCCTCAATGATAACATGCTGGCCACGGAATCTAAAGGTCCTGGGTTCTATCCCTGGAGGGGCGGGGTCATGCGTGCGCACTGCTGAGGAGTCCCATACTCACAAGAAACGGCTGTCCAGTTGCTCCCAGGTTTCCAGTGTTCCTCCAACTGATGTCAATCCATAATGAATTCCAACCTAAAATCAATTAGTAAATCTCCACAAACCTCCAGACAGAATAAGCTTCAATAACTGAAATTATTTTAATAACTTCAGTGGCCACGTTTCTATATCTTGACCGTGACTTGATATAACCTAAATTATGTATGTGCAGACGGTTGTACAATTACCGTTAGATTCCACCCATTATGGTAGGGCAGTTCCACTCTGATGGGAAAAGGTAGTAATATAACACATGTATTTACAACGGCAGCATCAAGAATATATGCAAATTACAACGTTTACACATATATGTTACCGTGACTGACTATTTTCAGGCCTTTCTACCTTTAAATTCTACTGATTTTTCATCTCTTCAACCAACCTGCTGCCCTTACACATTTCGAAGCGAGTGCGTATTCGCATCTCAACACACGTAATGCTGTGGCAATCCAGCTTAATATATATATATATATATATATATATATATATATATATATATATATATATATATATATATATATATATAGTAACTATGATTAAGATATAAGGCTTTTGAAAATGATTCGTCGAAAAGAAAATTTTCTTCGCTGAATTATCTTTTATTACTTACCCATCGGTTCACGTGTTATTTTCCGAAACTTCGAGGTAGGGCGATTGGTTGAAAAAGGCTTGAACCGTTTACTGCTACCTATGAAGATTCCGGTAATATATCGTCAGGAAAGGTACCTGACGATTTGAAGAAGGGCTACCTTGTGGAATTCCCAAAGAAGGGTGACCTAAGTCTTTGCAAGAACTGGCGCAGAATCACGCTGCTGTCCTCACCCATCCAGGCAAAATATTAAGTCCCATCATCCTGGAGAGACTAAAATATGCTCTGGATTCGAAACTACGACCAGAACAGGCTGGCTGGCTTCAGGAAGAACAAATCATGTGCGGATCAATTTGCAACGCTACGCTACTTATCATCATAGAACAGAGTGTAGAGTAGTAGTTAACTCTCTACCCCAAATTCATCGATTTTGAAAAGGCCTTCTACAGCGTCAACCGAGATGTAATTTTGCAGGCAGCTGCTTCAACACTTCGGTTTTAGTGCCACAAACCCTAATCAACCTCATTCAACACCGGCTATGTGCTGTATGATGCTACATGCCAAGTGATTCACAATGGAAAGCCCAGTGGTGCCTTTGAAGTGAAGACAGGAGTGAGACAAGGTTGCTTCCTACTATCATCAATGATTTCCTGATTCTGGTGAATTGAATCATGCAACAAACTGTGAGGAGGGAGCAGATAGGCATACGCTGTTTGACCGATGAAAATACCCTAGAAGAATTGGATTTTGCCGATGATATCTTATGTCTAGTGTCGCTGAAGCTCGAAGATCTACAGGCGAAAATTAACAAGTTGACAGAAGAGGTGAGGCAGCAAACACGACACTTCAGGTGAACGTAGAGAAGACAGAGGTGATGAAGATACGCAACCAACAACAAAAGGCACTAATCACTATCAACAGGAGAAATCTGAAAGAACTTGTCTCTTTCACCTACCTGCCTAAGCAACGTTGTCCCAACTACAGGCGACACAGGCACAGATGAGGACGTCAAAGCCAGGATCGGAATAGCAAGAAAAGCCTTCATTAATCTGAAATCAGTGTGGCGATCTACTGCCCTCAATATAGAGAACATGATCCGGATTTTCGACACTAATGCCAATCAGTTAAGTAAGTAAGTAAGTGGTTCTATGTGATGGTCGAGAGACTTAGTGCGTTACGAGTAGCATTTCCAACAAACTACAAACATTCATCAACAGCTGCCGTCTATGGTCACTCGATAGTGAAGATCAGATGGGTTGCCAGAATAATAATAATAAGCAACAAGGAACTGGGAACGAACCAACCATGAACCCATCACCCAACAAATATGCAGAAGAAGAAAGTGGAGATGGATTGGATTGGACGTACACTGAGAAGACGGTTTGGGGACATCACGCGCCGGGCCCTCGAGTAGGACCCAAAGGTGAAACGACGAGTTGGGCTTCCGAGGTGAGGGTGACATGGAGGAGATGATGTGAGGAAGAAATGAGAGCTTGTGGGGAGTGGTGGAGTCAGGTTGAAAAGACTGTAGAGAAGAGAGTGGATGGCGACGTGCTACTGAAGACCTTTGTTCCACTAGGAACCCAAAGGTTAAATAATATGGTAATGATTCCACGCTACAACACTTCTACTTTCCTGGCTGTAAACATGTGTTTTTTTTGCTAAAACATGTTTTAATTTTGACTTAGCATTAGTTAATGACTGGGAATGGATCATTAACCCATCACTGCAAAATACTTACACATGTATAGCTGGAATATTGTTTTTCTTTTATTCTTACTACTTATCAACTGAATAAAAGTACTAGAAACACATAATGTGGTCTGATATCGACGTTAGGTGAAAGAAATGGTTCGTACATAATTCTCCTTGAAAAGATCATTCAAAATTATTCACCACTGAGCGTTAATACCCTATCTTTTGCCATGGATATTTTGTTTTTAAATTAATTTATTGCTGAAAAGGCTTTACCCAAAAATTTTAAGCGTACTGAAGTACATGAAGTTAGAAAACACGATTCTTCTATCATTCCTATGCATTTTATGTCAATAAAGTATGCATCAGATGGTTACGGTGTTGATACTAGGTGATAGTTGAAGGTGAAAAGAAAATCTAGGTCACAGTAGGACTCGAACCAGGGGCCATCGGATTTTCTACCTGGTACTGTACCAACTGAGCTACAAGATCTGACTACGGTTTGAGCTCACTGTCATATGAATTCGTGACGCCTTAGTATCGCTTAAATATAGGTTACTTTCCCCTAAGATTTCGAAGTATAGAAATAGGGGTTCATCCATGGTGTTGTACATTGGATTTTGCCTCTCTCTCTCTTTCTCGCTTATAGACACATGTTCCAAACCGTAAGTGTTAGTTTAATGCTTGTATCTTGTAGAATGTAGTTAGGAGTCCTCTAGTTTGTAGTGTACTACCTTGACTGGAATGTTTACTCATTTAACCAATCATTTTCGGCGTACATTCGGCTTGTTCAGAATCAATTTAAACGGTGCATATGAATCCACACATCTTTATACTAACTGTCGCACTGAATTTCAGTATTCTCTCATTCTTCTTTGCTGTCTTTTAACGATTTACAGCTCTTAACAATTTTCTTCTTTATTTCGTTATCTTTCAACTTGATTCATTGTGGCTTGTTGTGTTGATATTAGGTGTGATAAATTAGATTGTTACGCAATAATTTTATGTCTTCCATGTTGATATTTATGAGACTCGAACATTGAACATTTTTACTCTTTTAGCCCAAAACTTCTCCCATTTCTGTACCACTCTTTTTGTTATCTTGCTTTCTTATTGTAAAATTCTCTCTCTGATGAAGCTATGTCAGTTTTGATTATTAGATTCTTCTAGTGAACATTACTGAGTTTTATGCCGTCTATTCTTAGCTAGTGATATTTGATTAGTTAATTTTGTAAGGATTTCTTTCTACCTCAACTTTTGAAGTTGTTTTTGGTTTAACGTCAGGTAAATTGACATAACTTGGCTCATTAAAACAAGAGTAACACTTAGACGCTGTGATAGACCATAATTCCATTTAGGTCTGTTTATTAGAAATATCACACAGTGAAACAGTATCATTTAATGGTCAGAGTTTCAGACATAATTTATTGTCCACCTACATATCAGGTAACTCCACAACTTTGAGACATCCTTTACATAGTCCTAATTTCCTCTCCTTCTTTGTGATGACAAGGGTAGTAGAATTTTCCATATATCTGGGATAGGTGCAGAGCCATTTCTGTTACATGTATTTGGTGTTAATTCGATAAACAGAGATTTGGTTATCAATCAAACCTTCCCTCCACTCACCCAACTAAGCTAATTTTTAATGCTGTCGCTTTATCCCACTCTGTCGTGTATAACTGCGGGTATAGCTATAGCCAAGCTTTCTTCTAAATTTTTTATCTTATTAAGACCTACTAATCTTGGTTTAGTTAGGATTTTGTGCTCTGTTATTCTAACTGATGACTACTTTGACCCATATATTTAACCTCATAATCATTACAGGGGGTTCGGTAGACCAAATTATTTTGCTTACATACACCAAAAGAATATTTTAACCTACAAAACTCGTGTCGAAGCAAGTTTGTTGGTTTAAATACCACTTTAATCCCAGCCAGCCTTATTGAGAATTCTTCGTAATGCTTCTGAGGTGCCTTCGTTTTCTGGTAACACAGTAGAAGCTTTAAATTCTGTCTCAACCCTGTCACACCCGTATTACTATAACTACTGGTAATACGTTTTAGATTCCTTATAAATCTTTTTATAAGTTGAGGTGGTTAATTACTGAGATGCAACGTTTTCTTGATGTGTTGAATTTATTGTCGTAGATTTTCTGGCCTACTAGTAAGCTTTTCCACCCTGTCACTTAGGCATTCAACTGAGATGGCATGAGATGATTTGAAGTGTAAGTAACGATTCGAATATGAAGATCTCCTACAAACTCTAGTCTCTAAACTTCCATCTTGTTTTCGTTTAATCTTGCAATTTAACATTGTTACCTCACCTTCATCACTTTCTAAGTCATAGGTGAATTGGATTGCATTCACTACTAAATTTCTGTGTCAAGAACCTATTAATGTGTTCCTATTTCAGTACTGTAAATGTACTATCTACATACTGGAACCATATCTTTGGAGTAGGATTAAATGTTTGAAGAACCATCTATTCCTAACTATTCATAAATATGCCTGCAACAAGAGCGGACATTGGTGATCCCATAGCACATCCTTCAGTTTGTTTGCATATTTTAATTTGATGTCAGGCACAATTGTACTGTAACGTCATTTCCTCGATCGGCACCTTAGTTCTATGCGTGAGCTCATTTCCATCCTTAAGCCCATTTTTAACTGCCTCTAGAGCCATGTCGATCGGTATATTCATGAAAAGGCTAGTTATACTAAAACTAACCATTTTTTTCATTGTCATTTAGATGTATGTTATCTAATCTATGCTTTAATTCATAGAAGTTAGCAAGTCGGGATTTTGAGTGATTTCTTATCGGGCCTAACACCATTGCTAAATATTTAGAGAACTTGTAAGTTGGAATGTTTCTAAAATCTATAAGCCTGATGCGATAACCTGGCTTATGAATCTTAATAATACCATACATTTTGCTTTGATTTTTAGTTTTGACTCACCTAGAAAAGGCTTCATTCGGCGTATCAGATCCCTTGTCGATTTCTTGACCTCATTCATAATAGTGTCCACTGGTTTTTTTAAATTTCTTCATGTGATCTTGTTTATATATGCTCATTCACTTTGTAGATGTAGTCAGATTTGTTCATTACAACTGCTGAGTTGCCTTTATCCGATTTGGGAATTACTATATTGTTATCATTTTGAAGGTTCCTGACAGCTTCTCCTTCTGGCTTGGGTAAATTAGATTTCATTTTCTTCTGTCGTTCCAGTGTTAAAGCACACTGTGCTGTTACTTCTACTGAAATTAATGCTATTTTTGCTTTGGGAATTACATCTGGTTTCAGTTCATTAACCGTTACATTAAAGTTAAGTCTTTTCTGTAACACTTTTACTTCTGTTGAGCTTAGGACTCTAGTTGAGAGATTGATAACCCACTTTGACTTATTGGTCATTAGTGATGTCCTATTATTAATTTGAGTATTTTCGGATTTATTGAATGCAGCTGACCTTGTTTTATTGCAACTGTCCACGAGAAGCTCATAGTCGTTTCCACTAACTGTTTTTATCAGCTTACATCTAAGTTCTTCAGTACAATTCCTAATGTTGTGAAACTTTGACAATTCTATCAATTTCTTCTTTAAGACAGAGTTTACTTACCCGTTCTACAGCTGCTTTGACCTTGTCTGTTGAAATTGGCTCATACAGACGTAGATATTTCGGAATGATTTGATTTCTAACCCACCGAAAATTGAATATACGGTGATTTATGTGTCTGCTTTCTGTTCGTGAGCTTGTCGATTAGTCTTCGAACAGGAAGATCATATATTTCATTAATGTAGGAGAAACTTGGGCACTGTGGTAGATTGTGCTTCCATTTTAGTCTGTTTATTAGAAATGTCACACAGTGAAACAGTATCATTTAATGGACATAATTTATTGTTGAGTTACCTGATGTGAATACGGACAATAAATTGTGTCCGAAGTGTTATCCAGTTAATGATAGTATTTCACTGTGTAACACTTTTAATATAAAGACTAAAATGGGATAACTTGGTTCATGTAGTTGAACCAATAATTCTGACACTGTCATATGATTTAGATTTTCTACACTCTTCACTATCTGAATATATCACTGATTTTGTCTACGCCTTCTCCACACCTGTGAAACAAAAGAAACTTAAGCATAGTAATCCCATATTTTTAGTCAGTTATTTTGATACGATACATCGTTCAGGAATAAGTAAGCTGTCAATACAAAGTTCTTGTTTTACACTTAACTTATAAGATTATTAAATTAGTCATAAATAATGAAATTTTTTTCGCACTGAATAATGTGGTACAACAAAGAATACTTTTATAAAGTTCCTATTTCTCTTTACTCGCTTCGTCTTAGTACTTTTCATAAAGGTTTATGAGTTTCCTATTGAACTTCAACTCGTTTGAAAGTGGTAAATGAAATTTTCAATTTCTAGAAGATTTGACTTTCATAGAGGTTATATAAAAATTTAATCTGTATAATGGGCATCTGTTGAGCGTATCAATGAACCTAGCGTATTAGGGGAAGTATATCTGACTGACAAAATCAACGTGGAACCTCGCAAACAGATGCATCGGCTCAGGTTGTCATAATTCACAGCAGTAAACAAATAACAGGTGGGTAGAAAAAGAGTGATATCAAAGTAGATAGTGTGAGAGAATAAACAAATCGAAGACAAAAGTAGTGCGGATCTTCAAGCTTTAGAAGACGTTGAAGACTGTATACATCTGTGCCATTGTGACCGATTCTCAGTCATGTCATCAGGAGTCCTCAACCACAGATTCGTTTCATCTTGGTGATCCCAACCAGGTAGTCTACATCACCCCACCCCCCCGACAGTAAGAGGCTTCATTTACTCGTACCACGTCGACATGGACACAATGAACCCTCTCCCAACTTAATCTAACTTTCTGTAGCATGGCACATCGAGGTAGGCGGTGGCTTGATATGCACAGTGCATGTCTAAGCCATCTCAATCGACTAGGGCTATCAACCTCATCAATCGAGTTGGCTGTTCTGCTTTGTACCCTTCACTTGACCTTAACATTGCTCACACAGCAATTTCACCAAACGCGAGGAATGGCAAGAAAACACCTATGATTATGAGGGAAAGTATATCTCTTAAACGTGACATATTCCATTTTCATTTTTTAACCTAAACCAGACACCTGCTAATGACAGTTGAGCTAACGTATCTATTTAATATACATATATATGCAAATAAGATTCAAGCTGTTAAATTATTTCATGTTTTTAAATTACCTTCTTTTTGCAGTGATAACTTATTTCCTTCATTTGGATTCGGTGCTTGTATTCCACCCGATAATACGGTATCACATTGCTTCCCTCTGGTTAGTTAGTTTATTTTCATTGAATTACAGTTTTATCATTTAAAAAAATCATAAGATACTCTATTTTCATTATTATTTTTATAACTGGTTATGAAGACGGAAGTGATTTTCAAACATTTCCCCAGTAGTTTCAATGTTTATTATTATTATTATTGTTAGTAGTAGTAGTATTGTCAGTAGTCTTAGTGTGGGTAATAGTGGCAGTTGTGTGAGTAGTAGTAGTATTGTCTAAAATCATGTCCGATATGAGTTGGGCATCAAGAACTATGTTGCACAGAATAGTATAGCAGTATTATTAAGAAAGATACGATGAGAAACGACAGTAATCAGAGAGCGGGAGAGAGAAAGACGTAGTTTCATTCAAAATAAATGTATAGGTCTCTCACTGCTTTCGATTTTGTATTTCTATTCAAGGATTATTTACTGAGTGATAACCGATCTAGTTATCAACTTCTAAAAGTAATAAACAGTGACTACAGTCAGTATAGTTACATTGTAGCCACTGAGCTAATTGATATGACATTGTATTGCCACTGAAATCGGTGTTAAGTGTTAAGAGCCAGTCGGTAAAAAAAAAATTGGTAAATAATGAAACTATTAATAGATTACTAATAATTTCATTTTTTATTCAGTTATATTTGATCCCATCCTTAGTTTGTGAGTTACATGCCGCTTAGTATCTTCTGCAAAACTTTGACATCGATCATCAGATGACCATTCTGCTCGGTTATCTTTCTTCTCATGACATAATACGATGAAGTAACCACCTCTCCATTTCTTTTACTTTGTCCCCACACAATAAAACAGTCATCAGTTTGTAAATTAATATGAGACCAGTATTGGTTTGGTATTTTCAGAGTATGCATCGAATACTATTTGACCAATTGAGCACTGTGTCTTTGTTGTTTCATTTTCATAAACTTTTCATACAATGAAGCATTACTTCACTATCTGTAGCCGATATATCTATTTTAGTTCAACGTTAAGTGACTAAAGGAAGTCATTAGGTTGAGCTGTGATTACGCTTATGTCAGGAGTTTGGAGAGACCAATAAACAGTTTTGCTGTGTTCAGAGCTGCAGCAGATAGCTGTATCGATCACCTAGATACTTGACCTACATATCCTATTCCCCGGATGGCATTTTTATACAAATCAAACGTGGTTGGTTCACTATACCATCCGGTTAATAATCAAGCTCATCTCTGGTAGCACTCGGATTACAGTCTACAAAACTGCAAGCGAACCCATCCATCGTTCCCTTGTGGATATTCCTTCTTAGTTCTTCTGACAAGACGTAGGTAAGTGTTGATATAACTTTAATCAGGTAGGGGAATATGAATTTAGCATTTGCAGTGTGGGCGGAGATATCACAACGTTGAAAGGTCAGTGAAAGTAAGACGTAAACTTTGAGTCTGTAAATGTTGAGCGTATCTATATTACAGTAATGATTGGGAGTGACTAGCAGTGGAATCTAGAATGCGCATTTCATCTTTTCTGGGACTCGTCAGCTGGGTGTACCTGCTTCCCAGTGACTGATGTTCCCACCGGGATTCGGGCTCGGGAGCGATCCATCATTACTATAACTAGAACACAGATAATATCGAGGCATCCACACAGGAGGCCATATGCCAATAGAGACCGGTCAATTCGGTCCAATCAAGGACGGTATAATATAAAAACAATAATATCTGCTTTATCTTACTAGCATCATGGGTACATTTTCCTTCGATTTAGTTAAAAATTAATAGAACGGCTTACTGATGTTCTAAGGACACCTATTGTATGCATCAGAGTGAGGCTCTTACAAATGATGAATAAACAGTAAACCTAGTTGCAGAATAGTTGTATTTGGTTTTATCCTCAGAGAAATATATTTGAGAAGTTGTTTGTGAACTCAAAAGTGTACAAACAGCAAAACTTTTCACATAAATGAGTAGAAAAAAGATGCGAATGAAAATAAAAGGCTGCTTACAATGTGCAAACTCCATTGACCAAGGTATTAACCATGGGATATCCTTGAAATAGTACTGGCGGGAGTGGTTATACAGATACTTTACTGTTTTAATTTTTGATTGTGGTACAGTATCTTTTGTGAGCACTGCCTAACTGCGTATCCCTCAGACTGAGGCAACAGGTTGTCTCAAACACCCATGTCTAAGATCTGAGTCAAACATTTTGCTCATAAAGCAACAAAAGTAAAACATTAGGAGTTACGGAGTTGTAAATATCAGGGCTGGAAGTGTCGGCGTATAGATTTGTGTTGGATTATTGACTTAGATGAATTTAACGGAAGGTTGGTTGGCAGAATTTTATAAAAAGAAACCATCTGAACGAATAGTATTCTTCTCAATAGATTCTCACCAATTTCCACAATTATAAAATACATTTGCATAGCGTGAAATTAAGCCAAGGTGAGGATAGATACATTTTCAAAGTGAAATGCGATTCACAGATGATATATATCCACATGAATAACCTAATGGTGACCGAGAAGACAATCAATAAAGAAAACAGGAGTAGACTACACTGAACTAAAGGCCAAAAGGGGAGTAACACTTGAACATGTTCTCTCTAAATGCACAGTTCAGGTTCGATCAACTGTATTGCGACAGCATTCACTGTGTTGAACAGGCATCGGGGAGCTACACATAGTATTGGTTTTGGAATATGATGAATGTCACTGAAGACTTTATTAGCACCTATGTGATGCCCTGTGTCTACTAGCTACTGTAGGATGATACTTTTCACCACTTTCACTTCGCCTTTTCCGAACCAAGCCCATAAATCTTCTCGTACACATAGACTCACTCATCTGACTAATTGTACGCCCCATGTAACTTGTTCCACAGCAACAGTTACATTGATGTATGCAGGATGAAGAGCTAGACTTAGGTAGACTATCGTTTGGTCTTACATTAAACACTAACCAACCACTGAAAGATATGGACAGCCGACCTGCATAAAAAGTCCTGTTGACTGCTCTGGCTAGACGTTGTGATAGCATGTGACTTGGACCGTCTCCCTTGAATTTTAAGCTCAGAAACAAAGGATTATTCTCCACTGCCATCAATTTTTGTTTCATCATCATCAATATCAACATAAGACCAGGCATCACTGCGTAACGATCCGAGTTGCCATAGTGAGGTGAAAGGTGAAGATAATAAAATTCAGTCAAAAGAAATATAAAGTATGAAAAGAGAAAACGAAGAATGAGAAAATGCTGAGATTCGGTATAGCGTCGTTAACATGAAGATAATGAGTGTATACATCTGCACCACTGACATCGGTTCCAAGCCATATCACCTACAGTCTCCAAGCACTGGTTACTCTTGTCCCATGGACCCCAACCACCTAGTCTGCATCGCTCCACATGGCTCAAACCAACAGTCAGAGACATCGGTGCTATGTTTTAGTCTGGCCACCTCAGGCTTTTTTCTAGCCTCAACCTACTTCGGCCAACATGGTGTGACGAGACAATCGGTGACTAGGCATACGTACTACGTGTCCCAACTATCTCAATCGATGAAGGTTCATAACCTCGTCAACTGATTCACCTCTTCTCCTCAAAACTCCACACCTGACTTCTGCATTACTCACGTGATGACACCACGGAATATGACCTGTACCACAAAGTCAATGGTGGTCAAACACTTGAAGCATTCTCATGTCTTCCACCTTCAATGGCCATGTTTCACAAGCATACAGTGGAACAGAGCGAACTGTTGTGCAGTACACGCGACCCAAATAGACAATCGGATATCATGGCAGCGCTACAGGTGGCGTAAGTTGGCAAAAGCCAACCGAGCCTCTTGTATCCGTGCAGAGATTTCATCAGCCACTGAGCCACCAGGGCTGATCCTACTTCCCAGGTAAATGAAGTGGTCAACAAACTCAACCACTACAATCTTTATTGTTAGCCGTGGCACTGCTGAAGACCAGACCTGGAGCAAAAATTTGCATCTGGGTGATGAGAAACGCATCCCAAACATTCTCAAATTCCCACTCAAAGTGTTCAGAAGACTCTGCATCTCGTCAGCGTCTTCACCTAACAGGATTATGTCATCTGCATATTCTAGGTATAACGAAAATTCTCCTGTGATTAGGTCAACGTCTGTGTAATCAGGCGACGAGATGGAGACCTCCATAAGAATATCTATAATGAAATCGAGTAAGAATGTAGAGAGTGGGCACCCTTGACGAACACCACTCGATGAGTATAGCTCACCTGACATCTCACCATAGGCTCTAACATGCCCACAAGTGTTCGAGTAGAGAGCCTACAATAAAGTGATGTACTTACTCGGCACACCTTTCAGTGAGAGACATTGCCATAAGACTTCTCGATCAACGGAGTCGAATGCTGCCTCTTTCAGGTCGAGAGATACAGCTATTGTCGGGCGCCAGTAAGCGTATCTGTGTTCCAAAACCTGGTGCAGTATGAATACGTGGTCGATACATCCACGACCAGGTCTAAAGCCTGCTTGGTTTTCTCTGGCTTGTTGTTTCTGAGCTCCACTCAGGCGTCGAACAGTTATAGAACCTAGAATCTTAGACACTATGTTCGTCAGGCTGATCACTCTGTGGTTATCACAAGAGGACTTCTGGTCTTTCTTGAAGAGTGTGATAATCAGTGATTTAGACCAGTCAAATGGGGATCGTATTTGATTCCCATATACTGGTTAACACTTCCGTTAACCTGACTAAGACGACTCCACCACAATCATTGTATGTCTCAGCAGGCAGTCCATCTGGTAAATTTTTGTTTAGAACCGATATGATTGTTGTTAGCTTTGATGAACTCATCCGGATATGTGTTTCCACCAAGAATACCATAGACACACAGTAGTTTTTTTTTTACCACACATTCCTAGAAACAAATCGATGTTACTTTAAATGCCAGAAACCTGTTTATACTACTGTTTTGATCCATCAGCACGAAGCTGATAAAGTGTGTATACTGTGCCTCAGATGTCGTTTTTCTACAAATACTTCTCAGCATA